CTGTGACGGTTAGGCGTATTTTGCACACTCTACCTCGCCTAAGGAAAGAGTGCCTGGCGAAGCCAGGCCGGCCGGCGAAGCCGGGCCGTGACAAAGAAGGAGGAGCACCCGGCGGCAGCCGGGTGATCCGACTGGTGTATCTTTAATCCAGACAGACCGATGTCGAGAGCGCTTTCGACCGGATTCTGGCAGGTGTTCCCCATGAAAGAAAGCACCGGTTTTGCCTCTTGGAATTTTTGTACTGATATTTTACTGATGAAAACAATCATGCGGAATCGCAGCTATCTTACATTCAGATAAAAATGCTGCCGAAGAAGTGAACGAGGGTATTTGCTATGGATTGAAATATCGAACAATAGGACTGGTCGAGTCTTGCGTGGATTTCCTCGGGCCATTACAGATGTCATTTCTTACAAAAATCGGATGGGAAGCTAAGGTACTAAGCGTTGTTTCAGAATATCAAAGCATAACAAACGTGAGATTTTTTGAAAAGCTGGTATATACAGTCTTGTTTGCTGTGGATGCTGGGGCGTGTCAGGGAGCTGATTTTGGTGTGACCCTAGCTCGTTCTCCACCAGTTCTTGAAGCAAGCAAGCGACAATAATATTAGGTTGTCGCATAAGTTCTTATACACGTGTTTGATCCTCTCCTATTCGTTCCATAGCATGTGGGTATTACTCATCACGTCTGTGCGTGACGTGTAGCATTAATACCTTTCATTCACAACTAGCTATCAGCTTGCATTTGCAGTACACAATGTCGCACAATTTGCACTGTGACAAAACGTACCTGTTGGTTTTGCTCCACGATTTCGGCTGGAATGCAAAGGAAGCCCATACCAAGCTGGTGGATACATACGGTGAGGACGTCATCTCTTACATGACATGCAAGAATTGGTTCGCCAAATTCAAGAAAGGAGACTTTTCTCTCGAAGATGCTCCGAGGTCGGGTCGGCCGATGGAGTTGGATTTGGAAGTACTACGTTCCACCGTGGAGGAGGACCCGTAACCGCAGAGAAATGGCGACCATGCTTAGCTATGATCATTCGACGGTTGCACGTGAGAAAAGCTCGGCAAGGTAGCAAAGCTTGGTCGATGGGTCCCACATGAACTGTCCGCTTATGACCTCTCCAGGAGGGTGACCACCTGCACTTCTCTCCGGCTTCACTTTCTCAACTCGATGATCACTGGAGATGAGAAGTGGGTCCTACGAATAACCCTGTGAGGAAGCGGCAGTGGGTCGACAAAGGAGAACAGCCAGAAGCCACGGAGGGTCGGCATGTTGCCGGGGCCAGAAGGCGCGACCCTTACCCCAAAAATTTCCCTGTCCTGTTGGTGGTCCAGAAGAGGCAATGGAGTACTGGGAGCTGCTGGAGAAGGGACACGATTGACGCTTCCACATACGTGACCCAGCTGCGGAAATTGAAAGATCACGTCGACCGTACTCGTGGAAGGAATGCGGAAATCTACTTCCACCATGACAACGCCCGACCTCACACTGCAAAGGCGACCCAGGCCGAGCTGGAGAAGTACGGATGGCTGATGGTCGCCCACCCTCCCTACAGCCCTGACCTCGCTCCTTCTGACTACTGGCTGTTCAGCCATCTGGACGGAAAAAAGTTTGAAACAAAGGATCAGGTCAGAAAGGCGCTCGACGACTTCTTCAGTCTCCCAGCCTCCGTCGTTCTGGAAGGATGGAATCCGTACAGCCTGCTGAGCGCTGGCGTCGGAGTACGAGTGAGATGAATGGTGATGGTGCATACGTCTAATCTCCAGGCTGGTTCGTTGTTGAGATATTTACAAAAAAGTCCTGTATAAGAACTTATGCAACAACCTAATAGAAGCGGTCGGAAATAGCATGCCGTTCGCACTAAACCAAATGCACGCCGCCAGTATCCACAACCGACGCAAGACTCCGTTGGTTTATACTGGTGGAAGAACTAACTAAATTCTTCACAGAACACGACTTGGTTTAGCTTTTGATTGTGAGTCACTCTAATGTAATGGCCAGAAAAAACCCAATCCCACCCAGGATTCCGGAAAAGAAGCGAATAGAGATCACTCCGAAGAGATTGTGGAAGCCTACAACTCATTGCCATCACGTGGACGGGCACAGTTCTCAGTCTAGGACATAACTGCGTACCCTAATTATTCTAACGGTATACTTCGTTTCAGATTGGAACCGCGCACGCGCAGTAAGCGCTCGATCAGCTTTTTAATTTGTATATTTTTCGTCTGCGGTTACTCCCAACAATTCATGCCAAAGGGCCAAAAGGGCGTTTCCAAGTACGTAATTGCGAGTGCAGCGAAAGTCTAAATGGAGCAGAGAAAAACGTATGTGAAGAGAGTTCGCATGGAATTACGCCCAACTACGACTAAAACATCTCCACCTTTTGCTCCCTCCTGCATCATCGCCCTCTCTTCATGTGATGTCCTCGCCGAAAAGACGCAAGAAGGGGCCAGGGGATCCGCACGTGCAAAAAAACAGGACACGCAAACTGATGAACAACAGACTCCATGGCCTCTCCGGTAAAAGCCTGTTCCCCCGGCCCCCCCTGCTGTGACTGGACAAGCCCCTCTCGTCCAACGCTCGTGACTCGCAAAAGTGCATTTCGCCCGTGACACAAGCGACCAGCACCACCGCCTTGCCCTGATCGTGTTCATGTTTATCATCTATGGCGGTATCCCCGGCGAAGCGTACGCCCTTCTTTCTGGCACCGAGGTTCGTACCCGCGCCCAGCCGAGGCCAATTATCACACCATATCCGAAAACGCAAAATCGCCAGAATTGCCTGGATCACCAAACAGATGAGGCTCGCCTCGCACAAAGCGTCCGTGCGTGATTCGTACCAAGAACCAATCAAATCAGGCAATGCTGAAGTGAACTGAGCCACCTAGCTAGTGAATGCTCTGCTCATTTACCTGCTTCCTGCATGCTGCTGTCATGATCCCTGCAAACGACAGGGCGTGCGACGCGGCGCGGATTCCAGCGCAGCCAGTAACGATGCCATCCTAAGTTTGATACGGCTGATGAGAAATCTGATCTGACTGTACTGCCACGCCGTCGTAACATACCCTATCGTTGCAGGGATCATGACTGTGCAAAAAAAGCATCTTCCATTTAAGGATCGCGAATCGATACGATTTTTCATCACCTCATCACTATCGATACTGTGTGGTATTCATTTATGCTGCACGACTGCTCTCACATTCTATAGTGCTATCGAAATTAAGTAAGTATGATTTGATGGAGGTTTTGAGGTCACCAGAAGGCTCGATAGAAGGATTTTCTATAAGGAACTCGACTGTTGAAAAATAAATTTTTCAGGATCAGACTCTACTCATATCATTATCAAATGGTTCTCGGGGTATTGGTCGCATTTACGGGTATTTTTCATTTTAGGTAACATTTAGATTTTTCCCAGTTCGCTTTTTTTTATTTTACTTGTCATATACTGGTACAATGTAGGTTCTGCTGCACGTTCTTCTTTCTCGGCCTTCCATTTGCTGTCGGAGTTTACTCAGTTATTCAAGGTACCTCTCCATTTCTCTTTTTCTTTTTCATTGGATGAATGACGGATGAAGCTCTTGTTGTCGACAATCCCTATTTCCCACTTGGGATGCAACACGCATTCTACTTCCATCCAGAATATCGGGGACTTGGTGGCCTATACAATGCCTTGCGAGGGATAGCCAATGTACAGGTCAGCATATCAGCCTCCCAGACGGATCTGGTACCAATTCGCCGTTCCTCGAGGAGAGAAGGCATGGCTCGGCTGAGCGGGAACGATTTAACTCCCTCGAACCGTGGAATCAGGGCCACTTGCTACTATTCTACCTTAGCCTCCATTAGGCTGAATAAAACCTAAATATATGGCATATCTGCCTGATTTTTTCAGTCAATCAACCAAACTTGTATTTATACTGCTGTTTCGAGAACGATAGAGCATACAGGGGACCATACAGACCACGCATATCTCTCCCTCCCCCCGCCAGACATGCAGTAAAGGAATGAAATCACCACTGTCCTCGCTGAGCCTGCAGTACTTAAGGGCACTATAGTGGTAAGAAATAAAGAACATCACTCTCTCAATTCTCATAAGTTGTTGTAATATGTTGTCACCCGTCACCAATGTCCCTATAAAACACTCGCACCCTGGGTCGACCCTGTATGATTGTGGGGGGAACTGTACTATCCGGAGGGATATTGACGACAGCCCTTGCCAGCTCCTATCAGTTGTTATACTTTTCTGTCTCCCATCAGTAATATACCCGTCGTATTCAGGTCATCGTTGTGTTGAATCCCCAACAGGGGG